TAAAATAAAAAATTTATATCTTTATGTTTGAAGCCTGAAATGTGGCAAAAGGTTGAAAAGTTCAAGGGGGCCGAATACTTTCGCAAGGCACTGTATTTAAGTACATTAAAATAATATAACTTGTGTTCTACCCTCCTTATTTCAAGTGAGAACAAGTATTGGGACAGGTTTTTGCCACTTATTCAGGTGCTCAATATTACACTAATATTAAACAGAGCTAGAGTTAGAAGGTATAAATCAAGATGAAGACTAGAGTCTGTAGCACAAAAGAAATTGTGAAGACAAGAGCAAAATAAAAACTTTTAAGTATGATGGGCAAATGTTCGAGGTCAAATTCTTCCACGAGGGGGGTGCCTTCAAAGTGGAGATGACGGCATAGAAATTTTTTTGGCACGCCCTCTCTTTAAAGCCTTAGCCAAATATAAAGACAGTATGTACAGTTATAATTCAAAGTGAATAAAAAACTACACATCCCTGTTAACATGGCAGTGCTTGTGATCCTAGCGTTTAAACAACGAAACAGGGCAAAAAAATCAAGTCACATGAATTTGGGGCTGTGTTTCAAAAGCTAAACTTATCAGCAACAAAGCGAAATTCACACGATGGGCTACCTCAAACTGTCAGTTACAGGACTGTGTATGTTGCTTAAGCCACTCCTATTTAGCTTTTTAGTTATGGAGGCAGGAAGACGCCCCCCCCCCCCTTCCCTCTGGGTGCTTGACTTGTCGCCATCTTTAACCGTTCCATGTCTGAACCGCAGTAGGGAGAGACACGTATGAAAAAAAGTGAATCCCAGCTACAATACAAATATATCTTTGTAGTAAGGGGGAGCAAAACATCAGTATTTACTGCTAGTAATTAGTGTAAGATTTATAGTTAAAAATCTGAGCCTAAATATAAAGTTGAATTCTCGACAAACAAAGCAACGTAGGAAATGCGCACTTTTTCTGCAAAAGATCAACCAGTCAACTCATGCTACATATCAAAGGGCAAGACGAATACACATGAAGCGGTGAAACAAAACATCTTCCTGAGATCATACTGTATATAAGAGCTGGGAAACCCTTGCAGTTTGTCTGTCCTGCAGGGCAGACCCAACACGCGTTGAAGTCATTATTGAGCTCAATAAAACAACTGAATCCACACAAGAGTGTGTCCTGCTCCTTTGATGAAGGATTTCCCACAACAATATGGCATAGTCGGCAAGGATTCTCCAGGTCTCCGGTAATTCCCAGACGGCACACAGGGTGAGTATATTTTTTATGTTACCACCCAATTAGGTTGCCATAAGGGAAGGACCGGAAATGGAGAATATAAAGAATCGTTTATAGGGAAAAGAGTAAGGACACGTCTCTGTGAGATTCAGGGTAAAAATCCCTAATCTGAGACACGATTCCTCTGAGCTTGGTTTAGAAACCAAGACAAGACGTAGTTCCTCTGAGCTTGGGGCGGGTCTCTAAACCAGGGTGCTTTCCACCTGGGGCGAGGCAAAGTCCCTAAATGGAACAAGGTGAGCTGAGCGAGGGTATTGTGCCAGCAAGATTCCCTCTGAGTCCGGGTGGGCACCTCCTAAGGAAGCTAAAGTTAATATTATTTTAATAATATGATTATAGACCAGTTGTGCTAGCAGTTTAATCACCAGTGACTGCTGAGCTGAGAGTTAAGCGAGGAGTTGGTTCTGTATGCTAACACCAGACTCGTATTCACTGACTGACTGCTTCACAAGGGTACTTGTAAGTGTGCCGTCAGCTCCGCTGGCAGCACTGAGAGATTTGAAGATGGTATCTAGTCCAGATAAAGCAGGGTCAGTTCTAGACCACTAGGGGAGTCTTATAAGGACTAAAGAATTGATGGTAAAGGGAACATGGAAAAATAAGTTGTGTACTAAGATTGAAGTATGAACAGAATGGCAATAGTAGTGTTGTTAAATTATGAGAATATGGAAAGGGAATACATAAGAATGTTGTTTAGCTTTGCTAAGTCAAGAAAGAAGTCAAACATCTTTAAAAAAGCAAAGTTAAAAGAAGGGGTTGTGCAACTTAACAAAACGGGTAAAAAAAAAAGTAGTGACGGGCTGCGAGAGGTAGCAATGACAGAGAAGAATGTGAGGTGTGGAGAGGACAGAAGTTAAAATTAGTATATGTAATTTTCATATGTGATATAAAAATTGGAGTATAAATGTGAAGAATAACCTTCTGCCTTCCACAGCGCAACCCTGGTTAGGCGAGGAAGAATAATACAGCACACAATAGCACGCAACGTGTGCTCAAAAGTATGATAAAAAAATTGATCAACCCGATCGGAAGTAACAAACATTGCTTGTTGAAAAAAAAAACTAAATGGAATACGTAATGCTGTGTTTTAAAAGTTACACAGCCATTAAAACAGACACATGTAAAAGTAAAATGTATACGTTTACGCTAAAACTATAATAAAAAATTGTAACTAAAATGTTCGTGAAATACGACACATGATCCAACAATTTCCAAATTTAATGCAAAAACACTTTAGATGTGTACGTGTGTTTTCATTAATTTGTGTGCCGGCCTGTGTATGTGTGTGTGCACGCGTGTGTAGGTGAGAGCTCAGTGTGTGACTGCGTCTTTCAAAATATGACTATGTGAGTGTATTTAGCCAGCCGGACTGGCTAGAAATTAGAGACTCACGCAACTCACGTGAACAGAAAAATATAAGCATATCTAAAATGTACAAATACAAATATTAACAGAGTACAGGTAGACCTAAATGACTCAGATATATAAATGAGCCAGATAGTATTTGTATAAAATTAGCTATATAAATTTAGTTGAAAAAGCTGAAATATATGAGGAGAGC